TCCGAATCATCGGTTCAACTGCAGTGATTGCTAAATAGAGAAATAAGAATTTTAAAATTAAAACTATATCTATTATCTTTGCTTATGGTAAGTCTTATTTTTTTGAAGGGATACTCTACCCTTCTAGTGGATACCTCGTCTATACGTAAATTAATAAAAGCAATTAATTTATATTTAAACTTAAAAATTTAATAATATTGCACTTTGTCATAAATATTTACCACATCAATATAACTACATTTTAATATTTACAATAAGCAATATTTATTTTAATATTTACAATAAGCAATATTGTAATAATAATAATAATAATAATAATAATAATAATAATAATAATAATAATAATAATAATAATAATAACAATAATAATAATAATAATAATAATAATAATAATAATAAAAAACAGCCACAGCGACGGGCGAATCGAGGGCGACGGGCGACGAGGGTGACGGGCGACGAGGGCGTCGGGCGACGAGGGCGACCGAAGCGAGGGCGACGATAATTTGGAGCTTGAATCGGAGAAGCTGTTGGCGGATTTGGTCCCTTTGCTGTTGATTTTCGGTTCCTTACTGTTATTGCTTTTTGCTGTTTGCTACTGCTTCTACTGTTGTTTGCTGCTGCTCCTTCGGATAATTTTTGCTTTTTGCTGTTTGCTACTGCTTCTCCAGACGATAATTTTTGTTGTTTGATACTGCTTCTGCGGATTTGGTCCCTCTGCTGTTTGCTACTGCTTCTACTGCTTTTTTTGCTGCTTCTACGGTTTGCTACTGTTTTTTTGCCTTCTGTTGCTATGCCGGATGTTGTTCGTTTTCAATGCCCTTTTGCTAGTCTTTGTGGTTGTCCCAATGGGGGTGGTAAAGGGCTCACTAGGGGCTCCTTACGTGTTCACCTCCGGGAGCGCCATTTTAGTGGTGATGCAGAACGGGTCACGCGGGATGCCCTCTCCTCTAATTTGGCTGTTTTCTCTGCAGCTGAGGTCACTTTTAAGCGTATGGGTATTTGGCTTTGTGGAGTTTGTCTTAAAACTAATGCCTTGCGTACTAAGTGTCGTCATGCCAATGGTTGTGATGTTGCGCCTCTTGATTGTGGTGATGGTTTGGTTCGTTTTGTTCTCTATGGCTTTGCCAAGCCCCCCGCTCCTTCGCATCCTATTGATCAGCATGTGGTGGCGGATATACCATGCTCTCTAGATGTGGTAGTTCTTGATAATTTGCTCTCCAAAGGGTTGTGTAATGTGAAATCTATCCCGCCGAAGTGCCGTTTAGGATTTTCTCGAATCTTAAAGGGTGCTCTTGATTTGGTTATCGGGTCCCCGGATGACCTCTCTTGCTGGGTTAATTTGATTGTGCTACCTCTTTGTGTTTTGAAAACCTTTCAGCCTCGCAGCCATCTCGAGTGTAAGTCTGGAGTTAGACGTAAGCTACAGGAGGAGAGTATTTCCAATGCTATCCGATCTTGGAGCTTGTCCGGTGGTAACTTGCAGCTTGTGAGAGAAATTTTAGCCGACGCTTCACCTCCTTACTCTGGTGATGACGGAGAGCACCTTGATTTGACAGAGCGTAATATCTTGCAGTGTAAGCGAAAGATTTCTGATGGGTATTACACTGTTGCTGTCAGAGTTCTTTCCTCTTCCGGCGTTGCTCCTTATAATGATGACTCTCTCGTGGAGTTACAAGCCAAGCACCCGCTCGCGTCTCCTCCTTCCTTGCCTCATTTACCTGTTGATTGCCCTACTCTTTCTGCATCTCCCAGTGATGTTTTAGACAGGATAAGAAGTTTTCCACGCGGTACATCGTGTGGAAGAGATGGCTTACGTGCTCAACATCTTCTGGATTGTTTGAGCGGCGCTGCGATTGCGATATCTGATGAGTTAATCTCTTCTATCACATGTGTGGTTAATCTTTTCTTAGATGGGAGATGTCCAAAGGCACTTGGTGAGTATGTTGCAAGTGCACCTCTTACACCTCTTGTCAAACCTGGAGGTGGTATTCGCCCTATAGCAGTTGGTACGATTTGGAGGCGTTTAGTCTCTAAAGTCTCTGCACTTTTGATAGGCCCCTTGCTTGGCGAGTACTTCGAGGGTCTCCAGTTTGGTGTAGGGGTGTCAGGGGGTGGTGAAGCGGTTCTACATGCTGTGAATCGTTTGATTGAGGAGCGTGGTGATGACATTGGCCTCTCTATATTGCTCGTTGATTTTAAGAACGCCTTCAATTTGGTTGACCGAGAGATCATGTTGAGAGAGGTTCGTCTCCGTTGCCCTTCCATATCCCGCTGGGTTGAGTTCTGCTACTCTCGTCCTGCTAGGTTGTATTATCGGGAGCATACCTTATGGTCCTCACAAGGTGTGCAACAGGGGGACCCTCTTGGCCCTCTTTTGTTTGCCTTAGTTTTGCATCCCTTGATTTGCAAGATTAAGGACTCTTTCGATCTGTGTTTACATGCTTGGTATCTTGATGATGGTACCATTATTGGCGATACCCTGGTGGTGGGTAAGGCCCTGGAGGTGATCATGATGGATGGGCCTAGTTTTGGTTTACATCTTAATGTTGATAAAACCGAGGTTTTTTGGCCAAAAGAGGACCCTCGTAGCAGACTCACTGGTGTTTTCCCGCCTAACATTGCTAGGCCTACTCGCGGTGTGAAATTATTGGGCGGATCGGTTAGTGTGAGTTCGAGTTTTGGCGCTGAACTTGCGTTGAAGAGAGTTGAGAAGACAATTAAGCTTATGGATGCAGTAGCTAAGCCCAATGATCCCCAATGTGAGTTACTGCTTCTTCGAGCTTGTACGGGTGTTTCGAAGCTCTACTTTGCCATGCGCACTTGCCCCCCCGGGTATTTGAGTCTTCTCAACGCCTCTTTGACCGGGCCCTCCGCTCCTCCTTGGAGTGCATAGTCACTGCATCAGGCCCTGGTTTCGGTGATTGGCAATGGAGGCTAGCCACCTTACCTTTTATGTATGGAGGACTTGGTGTTTATTGTGCCGGAGATGTGCTTAATTATGCGTTCATTGCATCGCGCTTGCAGTCTTTTGAATTACTGTCCAAACTTCTTGCAAATGCTGGTGTCTCTGCTTCTGGCCTCGCCTTTGATGATGCTGTGAGTGCTTTCAGCTTGACTGTTGGGACTGATATTTTGAGTAACCCAAGTGATACTATCGCTGCCCCCCGACTAATGAAGAAATTGGCAGATGTATATTTCTCGTGGGTTGTCAAAACAGTTGGCTCTACATACTCCTTGACCACACGGCAGATGGCTTTATGGCAATCCCAGCAGGAGAATCACGCCTCCGATTGGCTCTGTGCTGCCCCTATTTCCGGTTTGGGACAGACTATGAATGGTAGGACCTTTCGCTGTGTTTTGTGTTATCGTCTTGGCATTCCCCTATTTTCTATTCAGGCGCCTTGTTCTGCTTGCTCCAGGGTTTTCGAGGGCGATATTTTCGGTGATCATGCTGTATCCTGTGCTGGTGTTGTTGGTATCAAACATCGCCACAATCTAGTCCGTGACACTCTTGCTGATATTTGTTATCGATCTGGCATATCTGTTGGCAAGGAGGTTGACATTGGCTTGTGTGATGAGAACGACAAGCCCCTCCGTCCTGCAGATTTGTTGCTTTACTCCTGGGATGGGGGACGTGATGTTTGTGTGGATCTGACAGGGTCCTCTCCTCTGACACTAGCCGGGATGACAAACTTTGTGGCTGGTCGAGCAGTTCGAGATGCAACGCAGCGCAAGCACACCAAATATTTGGGTAAGTGCGAAGCAAAAGGGTATGGCTTTCTACCTTTCTCTTTCTCGTCTTTTGGGGAACTGGATGATGCGGCTGTTTCTCTACTCCGACGCATTCAAAAGTTTTCCTTAGCCCAAGATATTGGAGCAAAGGCTGCTGCTCACATTTATACTAGAATAGGCTTTGCTATAGCCAAAGGAGTGGGAGCCCAAATTGTATCTCGGCTGCCCACTAATTTCTTGTAAAAATAATAATAATAATAATAATAATAATAATAATAATAATAATAATAATAATTTTTATGTATTTCAAAAATTAACACGGGTGGGTCCACGCGTTGCTGGGCTGCATAAAATGAGAAATCGAAGTTGGGCCGAGGTATAGAGGTTTCAGGCCGACTAGGTAGGTCCACGCGTTGCTGGGCTGGCTGTGTTCTATCCTCTCGCTCGTCCACTACATATACATACAGTTTTATATAAAGTTAGAAATTTGATAATTATCCATTTTTTATTCCTTGTTCTTCCCCAATTTGAGTAGAAACCAGATAAAACCCTAATTTTTTCCCACTGTAAGCAGTACTTTTTCAGTGTGCCTTTCTTGTTTCATCTTCGCGTGAGTACGCATTTACTTCTGCTCTACTTTCTGCTTCTTTCAGGTGATGTATGATAAATGTTTATCGGTTTATCGTTGTTTTTTTTATAGACTTGAATATCGACTTCATTTTCTCATATGTTCATTATTTTCGCCATTATTTTTTGGTTTATACTGAGCTTTATTGATGTTATTTCTTGCTTAGTTACTGCATTTATTTGTATGGGTTTTTGAAATTCTTCTGAAATTCCGGTTCGATTTACCTTGGATTTATGCCCTGTTAATAAGTGTGCTTGCTTTATTAACGGGACAGACAAGAATGGAGACTGATGGAATCTTTTTCTACGGCTTAATTGTATTTTGGATGTGGAATGGGAATTGAGAAATATTCCATGGGGGAAAAAAGATAATTATGTGCCTGTATTCAGATGTTTGGGAAAAGACCTTCGCAATTCTTAACTATTATGTGTTTAGTTATAAATGGGTGAATTTGAAATATAAAGTTCGAGAATGCCAGCATTTCTTTTCTTCTCGTTAAGTGATAAGGAAGGTTCTCGATGGTCGTTAGTGTATGGATGACTCCGGACGATGGGGTAATGTATACAAGCCATGTTTGTTGCTAGTTATTGTTTAATTGAGGCTGGCTTAGTTGGAATTTGACTGGTGTCACAATGTCTACTTTCATTTCAGATAGCTAAGTTTAATACTAAGAAAAATACACCCCTTGCTCAGCAGGCTTATATTATTTGTATTCTAAGTTGTAGATTTGGCTAGCAGGACTCCATTATGTGCTCAAACTGTACTGTTTATTGAGTTTGTGCTGTGGCTACTTTATTAGCTTTGGCTTCGCAAACCAAGAAAAAGATTTTGGGTCCACTAGCTCTTAGTCCTAGTTCAGCTACTGTGTTAGTAGGTGGGGCCAGCCCTTTCTCTCAACAACATGATGTGCTTTAGCTTCTCCTTGCTCTCCTTCTCTATTTGCTTTCTTTATTTGTCTGGTTTTTGTATATCATGTCTGTAACGGCTTGATCCTTGGTCTTGGCTTCTGTGTCTATCTATTCCTTTCCTCTTATAATTTTTTTTAAGAATTTAGCATTGATTTATTTAGGGTATAGTTCATAATTTTTACATTAGAGTCTAGGGATTTAACATTTAAATTTATATACATGTGTTGGACTAAGCAGATAGTGCATGCCTAATTAAAATCTGCTTCCAGACCCAGGATATTACGTAGTTTTTGGAGCAGTTTTAGATATATAACAGTTGTAGATGACCTAGGACTGTTAGGCTGTCATACGCTTGTACTTCGTTTTCTATATAGGAAAAATTGAACTTTTGTTAATCTACCTCCAGTAACCAGTCACTTAGCTGGCTATTTTTACTGTACATATATTTACACTTTCAAAGGCCATACTTCAGTTAGTTGATTTGAAAATCAGGCATAAATTATATAACTTTTGGCTGCAGTAATACCTCTTTCCAAAGCCTTTAAATTTCCTGGTTTATGATTGTTGCTTTGTTACTCCCCCATTAGTGGATGACACATTTTGATTGTTTTGGCAACGAAAATGCTCAGTGAATCAAATAGCAATATTTGAGCTTTTGAATGTCACTATGTGCATAATTGTTGATGCTGCTTTACTTTGTACTTTTTCTGTGCAGATCTCATCACATGGCTGAACTTGATCAGAATTTTGAACTTGAACAAGCTCATGAACTTGAATACCAACCAAAACATGAACTTGTGCATGAACACGAAAATGAAGTCGTGCTTGAACAAGTACATGAGCCTGAGCAAGAACCAGTACATGAGCATGAGCTCGAACAAGTACATGAACATGAGCTTGAACAAGCACATGAACACGAGCTTGAACTAGTACATGAACATGACCGACGGAATGAGCAAGAAGATGCAATACCAGAGAACTCGAATCCTGATAAAGATCAGAACATTGCTGATGAGCCAGTTGCAGGAGGTGTTGAAAAATGGCCTGGATGGCCTGGAGAGAGTGTTTTCAGGATGTTGGTGCCTGCACAGAAGGTGGGAAGTATAATTGGACGTAAAGGAGAGTATATAAAGAAAACATGCGAAGAGACTAAAGCACGGATTAAGATTCTTGATGGTCCTGCTGGAATGAGAGAAAGAGCTGTAAGTTACATTTTTTATGTGTTTTGCATCTCGATACTGCATTTAAATAGGATGGTTATATGTCAGAGATGACGATTCAATGTGTGTTTTTGTAATATGAATTTTGTTGCAAGTGCATCAATAATTTGAGAATAAACTATGAGTGTTTAGGACTAAACCTATCGGCTCTTCTCAATTTTGGAGAACCTGGAGATGAATTTGGTGTAAACACCTGGAAGAATATCAGGATAATTAAATAGCAAACACGTAGTGCACTTTTATGCATGTACACACATTTGTTTCAAATGAACTATGACACTTTCTCTTCGTTAATGCTTGTAAGAAACAAATTGAGAAGTTTAGTTGGTTATCTCAACACTGATGCCTAAGCACAAATGTCCTGAATTTTGCAATTCGCTTTTAGTGTATTACTGGTCTTCTGTATCTTCCATAGGCCTTGTTGATTGACTTACTTGATTTTGCAGTTCTCTTTTAGTGTATTGGTGGTCTTCTGTATTTCCCTTAGGCCTTAGTTGATTGACTTACTGGATTTTGTTCATACCATGATCCATCATTTAAGAAATATATTGCAGACAGGATTGCAGCATGTCCTGACTTGAAAAACCTAATTAGATGAAGTCTCTGATTATTTGCCGACTCAATTATGATTAGCCTCTTGAAAACTTTTGCTACTGTAAACTTTTTCATTGTTGATAATGATCATTGACATTGGAAATAGTAGTGACTAGCACAAGGGATTTTGTTTCACGAAAATAGATAAAATTTGGCTAGTGTGGATCATAAATGACACAATTATCTATAAAGTTTGTACTCTTAAGCTTTAGCTCTTACAATAAGTAACCGATGTGACTTGTCACTCGGTGGGCAGGTTATGGTATCTGCTAGAGAAGATCCTGATGCAACGCTTCCTCCAGCTGTGGATGGTCTTCTTAGGGTTCATAAACGCATTTTCGATGGTCTGGAAAATGACTCCTCTCAACTTTCATCAGGTTCAGGAGGAAAGGTCTCAACGAGGCTTCTTGTACCTGCAGCTCAAGCTGGTAATTTGATTGGAAAACAAGGCACAACAGTCAAATCCATTCAAGAAGAGTCTAACTGCATTGTTAGGGTTCTTGGATCAGGTTCTTCTCTCTGTCTTCGTCACCTGTCCCTTCTGGTTGATCTTAAATGTCTGGTGATGTATTGCTCAGCTCTTAGTGATACTCCATTATCTGTATTTGCTTATATATATATTCAATTTTTGGTATGACATGGCAGAAGAGCTACCAGTTTTTGCCCTTCAAGATGATAGAGTAGTAGAAGTAGTAGGTGAGCCATCAAGCATCCTTAAGGCTATTGAACTAATGGCATCCCATCTGAGGAAGTTTTTGGTTGATCGGAGCATCATACCAGTAATTGAAATGCTAGTAAGTTTGCTTTTCTTTTAAATCTACTTGGGCCGAATGTTTATAAATTTGATTATATATCCTGGGAGCTCTGTATATGTTGTGTCAGATGCAAAAGCCCCCTAATTCACAGCAGATGGAACACATGCCGCCACCACTGCCACCACCTCAGCACTGGGGCCCGCCACCTCAACCTTTCCCACAACACGGTCATCCGGGTCCTGGATATGAGCCGAGCCCCCATTTCATGCCTCCTCCTAGGCAGTTTGACAACTATTATCCTTCAGCTGAAATCCCGCCTCCTGTGGAAAAACAACCTCATCAGGGGATATCTACTTATGGAAGAGAGGCTCCAATGCCGGTGCATTCATCGTCCGGTCAGGCAGCTTCTTCGGTGATCACTCAGGTTATCTTTTTTTCCATATTGGTTTTTATCAGTGTTGTGAATTGGAAACATGGAATATCAAACCAGATTCATGTTCAAACCATGAAATATGAAATCAATTCAAATATGATTTGCTGATTCTATTTTTTTCAACATCACTTGAAGCAGACTTCTGTTTTATATTCGATGGAACTGTCCCTTACAAAAATCTTAGTATTGCAACTTCTTGTACACGTGGACAATAAAACTGATATTTTGCTTTATTTTCCCAGTAATTCCGTCTGTTTTAACTGATATCCCAATTAAAAGGTCTGAAAGATGATTGGGGGTTATGTAAATCAGACTAAATGTGAGGATAGCATTTATAAAGTCTTTCAGTGGAAAAATATGTTCTGTCTATTGTGGCTATTGTTAGGGATCCATTTAAACAGCCTTTAAGCTGTTAGTGTCTAAGTCGTGTCTCTCTTAATAGACACTGTCCTACAATTCCAATTTAACTCATGTAGTCTAAGGTGTATAATATTAAGTTGGTAAGACATCCTAGGCCCCTCCAGATGACATTCTTGTTTGTGCTGGGACAAAACTTCATATATTTGTTTTTAGCATAAAAGTTCTAATGAAGTGTCTTGTCATGTACGTGTTCGGTATATAATTGGATTTTATGAGTTTTCAGGTCACACAACAAATGCAAATTCCACTCTCTTATGCTGATGCTGTAATTGGTACACAAGGTTCAAGCATAAGTTACATTCGGCGGGTGAGTGGTGCTACAGTCACTGTACAAGAAACAAAAGGAGTTCCTGGGGAGATGACGGTTGAGATTAGTGGAACTGCTTCTCAGGTCCAAACTGCTCAGCAGCTGATTCAGGTAACCTTGTATGCTCTGCCTTAAGGATCGATCTTCTAAGCCTTTTCATTTTCCGTTTTCTTTCTTTTTTTTTTTATTTATTTATTTGAGCAGATATTTTAATTTGAGTGCCCAGTTGTAACTTTTTTGGTTGATAAATGCTATATGGTCTTCTGTAAATTGGAATTGAAAATATCAAGTGTTATGTTATATTCGATTTTTATGAAGAACTACGTTCTTTTTTTTTCGTCTTTTTGCCTGCAGCTGTATAATGTTTGTTGATTCTCTTCTTCAAACATGCATCTTCCTTGTGTGGAGGATATCCGAATATCTAAATAAAATGGGACCTGGATGGCAACAACATTATGTCACAGTCCTGATTATTTTCTGTTTTCTTAATTGATAGATTTTTTTTTTCTTGTTATCCATATCCAATGAGGCAATTATCCATCTTTTAAAGTAATTAGTCAAGTTAGGATTGAGTCTATATAAGGAGGGTATAATCGGAACACTGGGCGTCTATCAAAAGCTTTCTAAATCTTTTTGGGTGGGGAGATTTGCTGGAGTATGAATGTGTGATGCATCAATTATCATGTTTTTTTTTTTTTCCCTTCGTTGTTTTCTTAAATTTCCTTGATGGAATTATTCGTAAAATGACTGATTAAATTATGAATGTCTCTTTTAATGGCAGAATTTCATGGCTGAAGCTGCTGCAGGTCCGCCTCAGACACAACATACTCCATCAGCCGATTACAACTCTTATCCTTCTAATCCTAATCATGCGCCCCAAACAGGTGGTTATACCTCGGTTTACGGAACCAATTATGGCTACTAAATGTGTAGTGTCGTTTCTCCTTACAGCTTATAAAAATCTGATGATCTCTTTACCAATTGGACAGCAAAATGCTTTATTTCGTAATTTGATTGCCTTCTTTAGGAAAAGTAGACGTGTTGTGTGCCCCAGGGCACGAAAGATTCTAGCATATGAAACGTTGTTCTTGTTTCCTATGCTACGGAATCCCGTCTACTATTTTTTTTTTTTTTTTTTAGCTTGTGCTAGAAACTATTCAAGTCACATATAGATCCAGCACTGTTGATTTTTGTTCAGACATTTTTCTTTTTCGTGTACAAGATGTTTTGTTGCGGATAAAAGGGAGTATCTTATTTTATGCCCTATGCATATTGCTCATAAATTAAACGAGCCTGGCTTGGCTTGGCTCAGCTCGGCTCGAGTTCGAGTTCATTTAAAGTGCGTTTGGTTAACGAGCCAAGCTCGATAAGGCTCGAAAAGAAAATTTTTATATAATCTTCTATAGTTTGGCTGTAAAAGCTCGAGATCAGCTTGTTAAGGACTTGAGCTCGAGCTCGGCTCGTCTCGTTTACAGGCATATATTTTGCGCCAGTGTCTATTTTGCGCCAGTGTCTGGAACGTAATCGATTCTATGGCACATTAAAAGTTTCCAACTTTCCATTGTGCTTGTTCCACTTTATGATATTTATAACGAAACTGAATATAAAATGAAACATTCTATTTTCATATTTCATTTTGTGTATATATAATATAACATACTTGTACAAGTTTCATCGTATAATCCAAATAGAATGAAATACGAACAGCAAAATTGGATTAAGAAATCCCATTTCCAAACCATGAAAATTGAAAAAAAATAAAAACCTACTCATCAAACATCCAATCAACAAATTCACAACCTCAGCTAAACACCAGTAAAATAAATACGTCTTAAATAAATTAAAAAAAAAATGAAAGAAAATATAGTTCCATTATTAAAAAAAAAAAAAAAGCTCATAACCTTTTTTTATTATTCAATAAAAACTCTATAAATTTGTCATATGGGTGCGGCACAGGTCGTCCTAAAATGCCCTGTTTGATTGCAACGGCTACAGTGCACGACCCTCTTCATCCGGCCTCGATCCTCCGCTCTCACACGCTTCTTCCTCGGCCTTCCGGCCGGCCTCAGCGACTTTGGCGGGTTTATAACAATCACTCCCACCGACTCATCCACTTCCTTCCACATCGTCTTGTCCGGCACCGGATGTATAGTCTCGGAATACGTTTTCCGGTAAGCAGCCACCGTGAAACAGCTCTCTGTAAACCTGTGCACGTTTTGCCTGCACGACAGCAGAGCAGCCACCGCGTGAGCGCACGGCAGCCCATACAGCTCCCAACCCCTACACATACAGCACCTGTTTCGTATATCCACAATATGAGTCCCCTCGTGAGATATTACTTCAAACTCTGCCTCGTTCGCACGCAGAACTTGATATGTGCGGGCCCGCTCGAGAGCCTCGGCTACCCGGCGCTCGGCGCTCGGGACGAGGATCGAAGTCCACTGCATGCTCGTTTCTCTCCGCTCGTTGAACCAAGTCATGAGTTGTCGTCTGATGCACTCCATCAACTGGATGATGGGAAGACCCGATGCCTCTAATATCCACGAGTTTAACGAGTCGAGCAGGTTCGCCGTTAGGTGGCCGAATCTCGCTCCTTCGAAGTAAGCTGTGGCCCATAAACGAGCCGGAACCCGACGGATCCAGTAAGCAGCGTCTTGCGATATCTCCTCGATTTCGAGGATTTTGGCTTCCAACTCGATCACGGTTAAGGCGTGTGCTGCATCCCAGAGGAGGCCGACGAGCGTCGGATTGTTATTGAACTCCTTCCGGAAGCTCTCGCTGAGGTGGCGCATGCAGAATCCGTGAAAAGCAGTCGGGAAGTTCGCCTCCACTCCTTCCACGATCCCTTTCTGCCTGTCCGAAAGAATCGTAAGTCTCGGCATGTTCTCCGTGTTGGCCTCTAACAAACCGTGTAGCTCCGAGAGAAACCACATCCAGTTCTCGTCACTCTCCTCGTCCACCACGCCAAACGCTAATGGGAAAAGCCCTCCGTCCCCATCGAACCCCGTCGCGAGAAGCAAAGTCCCTAAGTACTTACTCTTCAGATACGTTCGGTCCAGCCCGAGTAGCGCACGGCACGCGTTTAAAAACCCGTATATCGAGGCATGGAAGGATATAAAAAGACGCTGGAAGGAATTATCCTCCGGGTTCCCATAAACCGAGGCTATGCTCCCCGGGTTAGTCCGTCTGATCTGTTCGCAATACTGTGGGAGTAACCGATAACCTTCCTCGAACGAGCCGCGCATGGCGGCCATGATTCGCTCTTTCCCTCTCCACGCTTGCTTGTACGAGAGGGTTATGCCGTGTGTTCGGTGAATTTCTTCGAGGATTTCTTTGGGTTTGTAGTTAGGGTTCTCAAGGAGGCGCTGCTCGACTGAGTTGGCGACCCATTGGACGGAGGCCTGCTGGTGGCCGAGGTGGGCTATGCCTCCACAATTATGGGCTTCGTTAATGGTTCGGATCGTGAAGGTGGGGACACCGGGGAGTTTAGCGGCATGGATTCGCCACGGGCAGTTATCGGCTGCACATTTGGCGGTGAACCGGGTTTTGTCGGATTTGATGGTCTGCATTTCGAAGTGGAGGGCTATGGCTGTGTCGCGAAGGGCCCGACGGCAGGCCTTGGCGTCAGCAAACTCTTGGCCCACGTGAAGTTCGAAGTTTGGGCCCGCTACAAGGGCCCGCTGCTGAAGGACGTGAGAAGGGGTGAGAATGAGGGACGAGTAGTGGAGGCCTGTTTCGTGGATCGGGTTCGAGTCGAGGTCCAGTGGGTCGTCGTGCTGGATCACGGCAAGCTCCATGTTCTCGTCGAGCTCGTGCGACATCTCGTCGGGATCGGACATGTCAAGCTCGGGTTTGTTGTCTGTCGGGAGGTTCGGCTCGTATTCAGCTAAATGGGTTTCTTGGTCATGGGCCTGAACTATCTCTAGACCGAGGTTTTGGGCGAGAGAGCTATTCGTGTCTTGCCCGAGCAATATGTCGTGGTTCGTCATTTTTTATTCCCTTCTTTCGTCTGCAGAAATCACACGCCGACTAACAATTAATTACTAACACAATAAGCTACAGGCAGGGATTCAAGTGTACACAGAAACATTTTCAATCTCTTATTCCCTTATGGATATGTATATATATATATATATATATATATATACAAAATCTCAGCTGACTGAAATCAGTTCAAAAAGTGAGAGATTCAATTCAATTCAATTCCAACTCAACAAATATTGAATCAAGAATCACAAAGTTCAGCAATATATACAATTCACTATCATAAAATCAAAAATTCAAACCCCATCAAAACCCATCAGCATAACTCGATTCATCAGAGTTTTAATCCAAAGAACACGAATTGAAAAACCCAATATAAAAAAAGGGGGGGTCTGAAAATCGAAACTGAATCCACAAAATACAGAAAATTGATTAAAAAAAAAAAAAAGATTGAAAACTCACCTGAGACTAACATGAAGCTCGAGTCTTTGCCAAATCCAGGCCCGATTAAGAGAATCCCACAGCACCCGATATTCGGATCGGCCCGAATAACTTCACGCGCACAGAGGAATTGAACACCAATTGGTGGCCGTGACAGAGGATGAGAGACAAGCGAGAAGGATAACAAGAATTTGAAAGTGGCGGGTAAGAGAGAGAGAGAGAGAGAGAGAGAGAGAGAGAGAGAGAGAGAGAGAGAGAGAGAGAGAGAGAGCTAAGGAGAGAAAAGGGAAATTGGGGAGAAGAGAGATGGAAGAATGAAGGGCAGAAGAGGGCGTTTGCGAAGGTTAAAAGGCGATGCCAATGCTGTGGGAGATGGGTATTTTGGTCATACAAAAATCTCTTTTTGTCTTCCATTTTCGACTTTACCCTATTGCCCTTTTTTTTTCTTTTTCTACCATTTTTTTTTTCTTTTTATTAATAATGTGGGCCAACTTTATTTATTAATT